TGTGTATAATTTATAAATTATCAAGGGTTCGGGTGGGAGGGGGCAGGGAGGGAGGGGGAAAATGAAGAGGACACCAAGGGCTCAAGCAGAAAGCAAATGTTCTGAGAATGATGATGGCAACAAATGTCCAAATGTGCTTGACACAGTGGATGTATGGATTGTAATAAGAGTTGTATAAGCCCTCAATAAAATGATTTAAAAAAAAGAGGAGCTGATCCCAAGAGCTCAATAAAAAGTAAATGTTTAGAAATGAACGATGGCAATATATGTACTAATATGTCTGATCCAATTGATGTATGGATTGTAACAAGAGTTGTAAGAGCCCCCAATAAAATTATTTTAAAACAAAACAAAAAACATGACATTGAAAGATAAGAGCTGATAACAAAGACTAAACTAGAAAGTAAATGTTTATAAAATGATGGCAACATATGTACAAATATGCGTGATATAACTGATGTATGGATTGTTATTGAGCTGTAAGAGTCCCTAATAAAATTATACTTTAAAAATAAACATGACATTGTTCATGAGGCATAAAGTAAAAACAGATGCATAACAACTGACCTATAAATGTGGTTTACCTGTACAGTAGAAAAGTCATAACAAAAATGAATATATTACTAATACAAGCTACAACCTGGATGAATTGTGAAACATTAATTCAGCCCAATTCTCTATTTATATAAAGCATACACAACAGGTAAATCTACACCAAAATTAGATTAATGGTTGCCTGGGTATGAGTAGAGGGGATGAAATGAGAACTTATTCCTAATGGGTTGGAGATTGGGCAGAGGAAGTTGGTGAGGGAAATGATAAATAATTTACTGTGGTAATAGTTATGCAACTCTGTGAATATAAGGCTTTCTATTCCCATAAAGAGCTACAGTCTGGGAAGCCCACAGGGGCAGTTCTACAGGGTCACTGTGAACTGGAATCATCAACACAGCAGCGAGTTACTAAATTGCATACATTAAACAAGTGAGCTGTAGGTACATAAACTATACCTCAAGTTTGATGGTTTAAGTAAAGTGAAAAAATAACAGAAAAATCTATATGAAATTTTATAGTAATCTTACTGAGAACACTCTGAGGTCTTTCCTTTATTTTGATAGTCCATTATACACTGAATAAGATGGTTATTTTCATCCAACATCTGAAATAAAATAAAAAAGTTTATTACAAGTTTAGTACATCAAGTAAAATAAAAAACTAGAAAATTGGGAGGTAGGGAGATATTAGTGTTTTTTATAAGAACTTTAAAGTACATAGATCCCCTCACAAGATCGTGCTATCCCAAAGCAATCAATACACAAAATTTAAAAAACATTAAACATGGTAATACAAAAATAAAATTTACTTAATATTACTTTTCATTAAATATTGCTATCAGCTGCTGCAACATATATATATTACATATGTGTTGTAAAGCAAGTACAGTACACATATAACATATATTAATTCACTTTAACAACTTATAGGAAGATGAATGATTTCCATTGTATCATACCAAATATCATTACCCTAAATTTTTTAAAATCTACTGAAAAAATAACAAAATATAGTGTAAATAATAGTTGCTTTTTTTTTCCTTCAGATTTCTTGAAACACTATACCTATAAAAAGCTGAATCCACTCAGGCCTTTTATCTTCTTAATATGTAGTTTACCACAGAAAATTGTTATCTTACACCTTGGGATGAAAGCTTGTTTAGTCCATAATTCTTTTTTTTTTTTTTTTTTAGTCCATAATTCTTTTAATAACTCTATTCCAATATTCTCCCTCAGAATTTTACCTAAAGCCTAGAAGAAAAATTTGGAATTTCTTTCGTATTCAAATATTTAATTCTCCTTGTCATACGAGAAGCTTTAGCTAGTTATGACAAGTTAAGAGACCAAGTAAACTTTGCAATGCATGCATGAAAAATTCCGTCTAGGAGGCATGACTTTATTTCAGGGGGACATTAACTCATCCACGTGAAGGGGCATTGAGGAAGTGGTGGTATCTGGAAAGCCAGTTCGCTTTAGTGCCAGTTTTACTACCAGAATGATACACTTAACTTCCAAAACTCATTTTTCTGTAAAATTAAGGGGCTAAAGTATTTCTCTTAAATTTCCACATACCCTTCAATGAAAATATGAGGTAGAACCCCATAATCATTCTATCACAGTAACAGGTAGTAACTCTCTTAGTTAAAAAGTAAGATCTATTTAACCTTAACAACTTTTCTACATGTACCATTCTTCCCTTGCTAGAAAAAATATTAATATGCTCATCTAATAACTGCAGTTATTTCTTACATAGAATTCTAGGGTGTTCCCCAAAAGTTGCCCCTGCAATGCATTATTAATATAATTCCCAATCTAACAACTTCACAACTTATCTTTTCAGTGTATTCCTCAACCTGACAAATTTCACCTTTACAAACCAATCCCTCACATTGTAGAAAAAGACAATTTGAAATCCATTTTCTCCTCACCTAAGGATGAAAAATAAATGATCAGCATCCTCTAAATGAATCACCCATGAAAAAAATATCTTTTAATGTATGGATTGTAACAAGAGTTGAAAGAGCCCCCAATAAAACGATTTAAAAAAACTGTCTTTTAAAAGAGAAATTTATAGGAAAAATCTATAAAATGTATAGGGCAAAAAAAAATCTAGAAAAACTCAGACCTTTTTCTACGTCCCCGAAAGAAAAAGAAATGGGAACTCCTTCAGAAACAGGATGTGCGTATGTGTATGCGCGCGTCTGCCAGGCTGCAGACTTAGCCCTGTATCTGTTAAGGAGCCCTACATTGACATTCACAGCCAAACCGTTTATTCATAAAATAAAGCAACAGTTGGGCAAATGTCAAATACCACGCTACAAAGACCTGACAGTAAACAAAAGCCGATTAGCATACTATAATGAAGATACAATGTGTCCTGAGTTACTTTTCTTCTATTTTCATTCTCACTTCGGTGCTCAAGGCCAAGGTGAAAGTCATGAAAAACTGCTAATTTTCAGTAGTAATGTGTCTGTCTGGATGAATTAAATTTAGAATGCTGCCTCGGTCATAGGTAACAAGGGACAGAGCACAATAAAGAACCTTTGTGTCCCCACTGGCAGCCACACCACAGCGACAGTGGTCGCACTACCATCTAACGGGGACGCAGCTCCCTGTGTTGTCACGAGTTAGCATGTGCCACGATTATCTGGGTTTTTATCACTAGACTGTATGCTCCATGTGGGCAAGGATCGTGCCACACACCAAGGTAGCTTCAGCGACCAACACAGGGACTCAGTATTTGCTGCTGATGCACATCCGTCAAGAGGACTCCTAAGGGAACCCCAAAGCCCGCAGGCTCTCCCTCGAGGACCCCTAAGGTGCCCAGCGGTGGCCTCGGAGTTCTCCTGGGACCTCCCCAACTCGGTGGCAGTTTGGGGGCCGCGCGGGGCGGGGGTGCGATCAGCGATCTGACGTTGCCCCGGCCTCCGGCGACCCCGGGTCGGGTCCGCGGAGCGGCGGCCGCGGCGCGCGGGGCGGGGCGACACCAAAGTAACTCGGGAGCGAGGGGCAGGGGCGCGGGGGGCGCCGGCCGCGAGGGACAGCCCGGCCCCGCCCGGCGCACGCGCCCCGCCGCCCGGACGCCGCCCCATCCCCGGAGAAACCCGGCAGCGGCTCAGGGGGCTTTTGTGCCTGGAGGAAAGGGCCTCAAGGCGCGAGGACTTCGCCAGAAGACCGGCTCGCCCTCGTCGCCACCCACTCGGGCTCGGCTGCGCGCGGCTCCCTCCGGTTCCCATACAACTGCTTCCCCGCAGGCCCGCCTCCGCCCCCGGCCCGGCCCGGCCCCGGCCGCTCCCAAAGACGGGGCGCCGGCCCTGGCACCCCCGGCCCGCCAGGCTTCACCTTCTGGATCGCGGCGGGAGTGATCTCGCCCTTGCCTCGCTGCCTCGGGGCTGCGAACGCCACAGACATGTTGCCGCCGTCGCCGCTGTCGCCGAGTCCCGAGCGCTACGGGGAACAGCAAACTGGGGAAAGACGCCGGCCTCCCCGGGCCGAACCACCTCGGCAGAGAGGAGGGGGGAGGCTTCCATCCCGAACAGCCCGTCCGCCGGCCTGCGCCCCAGAAGAAACTCGGGCCCGTGGAAGTCTTCCCTCCGGTGTTCCCTGGCCACCCCAGGGACAGTATCAACTTCCTAGTGCTTGACCTTCCCTGCAGCCCTCAACCTTTCATTTCCCCCGGCTCCCCCGCGGTCTGGTGCCAATGGTACGGTCCTGCCCCAGCCCTCCCTCCGCTCCAGCGATTCAGGAAATGGTCCCGCCGCCGCGGGCGAGAGGGGCTGGGCAGCCCCTGTCACAGGAAATGCGAGCGGCCCAGGCCGGCCCGCCCCTTTCGCGCGGTTGCAACTTGCGACCTTCCGACTGCTTTTCTGTGCTCTGCTCGCGACCTGGTTTAGTTTTCCCAACTCCATTCGCACCCACACACCCCCCGGAGAGAAGTGGCCGCCCGGACCGGTCCGGGTCCTGGCCTCCGGGCGAGGCGAGCATCCCGCAGAATCGGAAAGAGGTGACCTGGACCTTAGGAGTTGGTGCAAACTTGGGCAGCATCACCCGAGACGAAGCAGAGATCGATGGACTCCGTGGACGCGGATTCGCTGATTTAAACGGCTGGGCTACGCCCCAAAGGCGCACCTCCAAGTCCACGGTCTCGCACTCACACGAAGTCTAGCTTAACAACTAGAAAGTGAACCTGACTCAAAATGAGGAAACCAAGGGCGATCAAGCATCTTGACTAGAGAGGGCAGTGGAAAGCATCACTTGGGACAAGCCCTTGGGCGAAATGATTTCCATTGAAGCATTTGTAATTAAATTTTGAAACGGGGCACCCGCACGGGCTCCTCTTTAAAGGTATATTTCGTTGTTGTTAGCTGCCTTGGCGTTCATTCCAACTAATGGAGACCTAATGTGTGCGGAATAGAACTGTTCCATTGGGTTTCCGAGGCTCTGACCTTTCAGGGTCAGATAAGCAGTCTTGTCTTGACACACAGAGAGAGTTGATGGAAACAGCTTTGCCGTTTTGCCCCTGTTGAGTGGATTCTGACTCATGGGGACCCTACAAGACAGTAGAACTGTGCCATAGGATTACCCAGGCTCTATATAATCTTGATGAAAGTAACCAAACATTTAACAACTTAACTGCTGCCCTGGTCTAATGGTTTGTAAATTAGGTTGAATGTGCCAAGCTTCAAGTCAACAGTGGGGAAAAAAATGTTTTCAAATTATGGAAGCAACAAAAGTAAATGTGAATAATACATTGCTGTAGTTTATTTTTATTCTGTCAATGTAAACTTTCACAGGGGGTCACTGAGTTGAAATCATCTTAACAGCCATAAGTTTGGTTCTTGGGCTTATAACCTAGAAGACAATTTTATATAAAATGTTAATGTGGTTCAAAAACCAGCCCTTCAATTTATTATACAGAATAAACTAAAAAACTAAAACGTGTATTTTTTAAACATTTCCAATAGCTGTTCTTTACAAAAGTTATGAGTTCCATTAACTCAACAAATATATAGTTTGATGTGCTAGGCTCTAAAATAACCACCTATCAATTACACACAACTTAGAAATAGAATTTGCTTTCAAAGAATGTATGTTCTATTAGCGCTGACAGAAACAAAGAAGTAAATATATACATATATAGACAGTTAAATGTATATATATGACTTTCCACACACACACATATATATATTTAATTATGGAAGAAACTTGGTGCCTATTCTGAAATTAGTAGAAATTCTTCAAATTTTTTATATGATTACATTAAATTCAAATATACCAGAATACTTCAAGGGTTTAGAAAGCAGAAAATTAAATTTATAAATATATATGTAGGACCTTACATACATCTTTCATAGGATATATATGTGTGTACATGATTTTACATACATTCATATATATGTATATATACTTTATATGTGTATAAAGTCCTGTGAAACACAAACCAGATACTGAGAGAGACTAGCAGGAGTGAAGATGGGAAGTTCTCAGGATTATCATTTAACTAAGACCTAAAGGATGGAAAAACCCAATCTACCCTAAAAATAAAGGGAAGATAACTAATACCTCTAGTAATGAGCATAATTGTTCTTATAAATTTAGTTCTGTACTACCCAAACCCTTGAAGAAAGAAATCTGGTATATTTGAACTTAATATCAAATTGGAAAGAATTTCTTTTGATTTCAGAATAGACACCAAGCCTCTTCCATCACCATTTGTCTAACACCTGTTGTCTTTGACTAGATTCTCTAGAGAAGCACAACCACTGAACCACATGTATATATACAGAGAGGAATATATCAAGGAAACAGTTCACAAAGTTCATGGGCCAGACTCACACAGCTAAGGGGGCTGATGAACCCAAGATCACCAGGTCATAGGCAGGCTTCTGGCTGCAGAGGTAAAAGAATCCAAAGCTAGCAAGTATGATGACAGGCTGCTGACAATTCCCAGTGTCAGCAAGCAATATAGCAGGCCACTGTTATTACACTTGGCTCAAGTCCACGGAACCAGAGGTTAGATGATGAGCCAGCTGTAGAATCAAGACCAACCAAAAGTAAGGAAGCTTTTCCGCCATGTCTTATTGGAAGCAACCCACACCCTTAGGGAGATCTCATTATGGAGATTGCTGGGCCTGAACTGCCAAACCACTGAGAATCCTGGCTCAGCCAAGTTGACACAAACCCTTAACTATCACCTTTGGTATCCATCATTCTGTCTTGATGTTTAGGTAAAGTTCCTTAGTGAAGAGCAATTTTTTCAATAGGAAAAATTTTACCACCCCAGAACAGCCCACTTGGCTTTTTTCAAACCAGTATGCAAAATAAAATTTCCAGGACCCTTTGTGTCCTTTTAAATTACAAAATTAACCAATAGGTAAAATACCTTTCCTCTTATTGGATTACCTGTAACACAAAAACTGCTTTTAAAAACAAGCAAACAAAACAGTTGCTGTGTAATCGATTTTGACTCATGGCAATCCCATGTGTGCATGAAACTGTGTTCCGTGGGGTTGAGAATGCTCTGACCTTTCATAAAAGATCACCAGGCCTTTCTTCAGAGATACTGTTGGGTGGATTTGAGCCAATAGACTTTCATTAGTTGAGTGTTTCACCATTTGTACTACCCAGGACTCTGACAGTAACTATCAGAGTACATGACATATCTGCTTACAATATGCCACCAAAGTCAAGGTCTATATGATAGTTAAATTTTTAAGAGCAACATGAATCAGTGAGAACATTTGTCTATATTTCTATATTCCGGCTTTAAGAAAATTCCAAGCAGAGCTCTTATTCTAGAAATGTGTCCAGTGATAGGTACTTCTTTTGTTCAAATGAGATTTTGCCAACAGTATGAACGGAATTCAACTGGGAACATTGTACAAGTTCCCCTGAGGTATTTATTCCTTGCAGGAGTGGGTAACCTTTTCCTGTCAAAGGCTATTTGGATATTTATAACATCTTAATTGTACAGTAGCTAAAGCAAATGGAAGAAATTATGAAGTCAAAGAACTGAATAGAAAATTTCAAAGGGCAGCTCATGAAGGCAAAGTAAAATAATATGAAATGTGCAAAGAGACCTAGAGTTAAAAAACCAAAAAGAAAGAACATACTCAACTTATCTAAAACTGAAAGACCTCAAGAGAAAATTCAAGCCTCAAGCTGCGATATTTAAAGATTATATGGGCAAAATGTTGCATATGCAGGAAGCATCAAAAGAAGATGCAAAGAATACGCAGAGTCACTGTACCAAAAAGAATTAGTCAACATTCCACCATTTCAGGGGGTAACATATGAGCAAGAACCAATGGTATTGAAAGAATGGAAAGAAATTCAGCTTCACTGAAGGCATTAACCAAAAACAAGACTCCAGGGATTGGTTGAATGCTCAGTGAAAAATCTCAACAAGCTGATGAAGCACTGGTAGCACTCAATTGTCAATTTAGAAGACAGCTACTTGGTCAATTGACTGAAAGAGATACATATTGAGATTCACCATTCCAAAGAAAGGTGGCCCAACAGGATGCTCAAATTATAGAACAATATCATTAATATCACACACAAGTCAAATTTTGCGGAAGATCACCCAGCAATGGTTGCAGCTGTACATTGATGGAGAGACCAGAGGTTCAGGACAGATTCAGGAGAGGATGAGGAACAAGGGATAATATCATTGCTGATGTCAGATGAATCTTTACTGAAAGCAGAGAATACCAGAAACGTGTTTACTTTCTTGTATTTTATTGAAATACTAAGGCATTCGACTGTGTGGATCATGAAAAAAAAAACTATGAATAACCTTCAGAAGAATGAGAATTTCAGAACACTTCATTGTGCTGATAACTAACCTGTATAGGGATCAAAAGGCAGCTTGCCGACAAAACAAGGAAATACTTCATGGTGTAAAAGTAGGGAAAGTGTGTGTCGGGGTGTATCCTCTCACTAACCTTATTCAACTTTATGCTGAGTAATCCTCAGAGAAACCAGATTATATGATGGAGGTGTGTTAGACAGGGTTCTCTAGAGAAACAAAACCAGGACACTTATGATTTTAAGTAGATAGATTAGATAGATAGATAGATACATAGATAGATAGATAGAGCAGGGAGGAATATAAAAGCTAATTAGCCTACACAGCAGTACAGAGGGCTCAGTTCAACTCACTTCGATGGAACAGTTAATATTCTGGAAGTCCTTCAACTGACGAGGGCTACTGGATCCAAGGTCAAGGAAGCAGATGGCTAAGTCTTCCAAGGGGCAATGCAGGCAGTCCAGCCACAGGCAGCAAGCAGCAAGGTGGGTCACCAACAGTCAGGAAGATGACAAGGTCTGACACTCCCAAGCTCAAAGATGTATACACCAGCAGCTGGCAAAGCAGGGCTTAAAGGAACCTCAAGCTCTGGTGACACCATCCACAGGCTGGCAGTCCCACAGGTACTGTACCTCA